AGTCAGTTAAAAACCCACACCTTTTTTTTAAATAATTAATTTTAAAAGCCTAAGTTTAAACTGCCAACTCTCTCAAAGACCAAAAATAACATTTAAACACCAACTCAGCAGCCTGGTATGCAAATAGTTATAAACTGTTATTACTTTTCTTTTTCTAGAGCTCAGATACAGAAGGTTAAGTTAAATCATGGCACTTAAGGTTTTTCCTCTTTCTGTTTAATTTTGTTTACAGAAAAAAAATAGTTTATATTCTTATCTAAAACAGTGTTTTCCCTGTGATATCCACATAAAATACATTTTTAAGATCAGGACACCCAAAGTCATATTCACAAAAACTGAAAGAGGAAGCAATGAAACTCAATTTTATTTATACATAAGAGTAATCATTTGTTAAAAAAAAAAGTTACTTCTAGCCTCTATGTATACTCTGAATTTATCTTCAAAATAACTAAAAACATAAACAGAACAAGCAGCTTATAAGGTGTTACATTCAAACATTTGAATGTTCTTGTAATGCATGGTCTCACTGTATTTCCTTATTACCTATTAGGTCAGATGCCTAAGAAATCCAGATCACTACGTTTATTAACAACTTAAATTTTTTACAAAGTTTCATGAGATCCCTTAGATTTAAACTTCCTTTGCTATTAAAAAATTACACTAAGCATGCAATTAAAAATACATCTTCTATACATTTCAAGTAAAATTCAAGAACTTGGCAACAGTAACAATCTTAACATGGGTTCTTTAGAAGTTAAGATTCAAAAAAGCCTTCACTTCTCAGGCCCTTTATAAAAGTCATATTGACTGTCACTTAACATCTAATTATTAAAATGTTCTCTCTACTGTTAAAGCCTATGAACTATGCAGGAGGCTTGGGGTGAGAGACCCAAGAAAACACATGCATCAAGCAAGAGAGACATTGATATTAAGGGAGGATACAGAAAAAAACTAAACTGGAAACAAAATTATAAAGTAATAATGGGTCTTTATAATGCTGACCCTGAGTCATCAAGAAAGTTAAATAATAAAAAAAAAAGAAAGAAAGTTAAATAATACTCAATAACCTTTATAACTTTAAAGTGCCTAATATTTTTAAGGAAAAAAATTTCATTAGGCTTTGTTATATTTTAAGTTTCAGTATGAATCTCAGAAAGGTAAATAGAACACCTCATTCTCAAAGAGTACCTGATAGAGATACTGTAAGGACAGATGATGCTGTGACATTAAAGACATTTCTAACTCAATGTTGAGAAGAGGAGAGAATTAATGAATTTTTCTTAGAACCAACAAACCCAGTTATTTATTGTTAGATATTTGAACAAAAGGAGGTGGGGGTGTCAGGTGGCGGGGGCTTGTTTATCAGAGAACACATTAAACATGAATGTCTACATCAAGGCATGCCTACCCAAAACACAGATCAACTCAAGAGTACTCCAGTATTATTCTTGAGACAATCACACTCATCTCATGAGCAACTGCTTTAGCCAAACTGGAGACAGCGTTGTCATTTGCCTGATAGGTGAAGTAGGGAGAAGTGCACATTAACTTATCAAGAATTCAAACATTAAGTCAATTCCCATACAATTCAGAGTGTTTAGTTCACCCCGAAGATGTTTCTGTATAGCACGATATGGGTGACTAAATTTCCTAAGGCTTTCCACAAAGTATCTCAAAAACCTCACAACTTTGAACAGTTATCTTCAACTGTAGCTTTTTAAGCAGTGCTTATTCAGATGCCTGCTAAGGAATCCTTTTCTGGTATAGCCCCAACTATGAAGTTTGAACTCTTTCTTCCTCCTAGGAGGAATGGCTAAGATTAAACAGCCCGGTCTTGAACCTAATCAGAGTGCAGCTGGCCCAGGTTAGGAAGCCGCTCCCCGCGTCCGAGGCTGCATGTCTCCGGTACACACATGCTCCGCTCCGTCACGACCAACGTGCGGGGCTGCACATCCCACACCAGTTACCTGACTGCCGTAAGACTTTTCTAGGCTGCCAGCTAGATTTTCTGCCGAGGTCCCCAACGCCAAAAATCTCATTGTTGGAAACTGAAGGGGGGGAGGGGGGAATCAGTAAGGAAGACACACCCCTCAGGGAAAGGAAGGATAACTTCCCCCGTCTCCAGGGCGGTCCAGAGATTTTTCCAAACTCTCCCCTCACGCTGCTTTCCCTTCCCCAACCGCCCCTCACCAGGACGCAAGGACTCGCACGGGGCGGCGGGAGGGGGCCCTGAGAAGGGGCGAGCGCCGGTTCCCGAAGTATCCGGAGAGCGGCGAGGACTGAAATTCCAGCATGGCGTAAGCGTGGCCCAGCTCCGGCGCAGGGACGCCGCCGGGGACGCGCTCCCTCCGTCCACCGGCCGAGAAGGCGGTAATCCGCCTTCCCTGCCGGGGGCCCTCACGCCCAGCTAAAAAATAGGCGCCTCGGTCACCCCAGGGCCCTCTCCTGCCGACCTCGCCCTCGGGAGACGTCCCCAGAGGAGACGCCGCGCCGGAACCGGGGTCGGGCTTGGG